TACGTGGGGGGGGCGTTTGTTTTGGAAAACAGACGCCTCAAGCGTCTGAATATAGACGCGGCGTGGGATCTCAAACCCCAGGGATCAAACAGACGATTGGGAAGCTCGGGGTCCCCTCCTCCTCCTTCTTCTCGTCGGTCTCCTTCCCCAGCCCTCCTCCCCCTCCTCCCCCTTTCCCTTTCCCTCCCCCTGTTGCTTGGCCCGAGAGAGGGAGGGCCCCGCGGCCCGTCCGGCGCCTGCCCGCGGCCCGAACGGACTGCCACGCCCGCGGCGAGGAACGCCGGGGCCGCGCGGGGCGCGGCCCCGACGCGCATCCTGCTTGCTCGCTGCCGCATATATATATATATATATACACACATATAGATGTGTATGGAAAAAGGCACACACTGGCTTGATTGTTGTATGTATATATGTAGAGAGAGAGAGAGAGAGCGAGAGCGAGTTATTAAGATGATGATGTTCATTATGAGTATCCTTACCATCGTTATTATTGTTATTGCTGCTGTTGGTATTCATAGTATCATGATCATGGTTATTATTATCAGCAACATCATTCTCATTACTCGTATGTGCGAACGCATAGTGGAAAACACACACAGTCTTTGGAACAAACACGCACACACACAAAAACCATACAGTGGACACAAACACACACACACACAGTGTGTGTGTTTTCTCCCACAGACGTGTGTGTTTGTGTGTGTGGGTGTTTTCCCCGAGCTTTTTCTTATGTTCCACAGTGTGTGTATGTTGGAGTTCCACTTCTCCTTTCTCTTTGCCGAAGCGTGTTCCTTTCGCGGCTGATGCTGTTGCGAATTTCCGCTCGGTGTGGTCGTCCATGTTGGCGCTCCGGCTGCCTGCTGAATTGTGACGAGTGCTGATTCAAAACGTGTCTCTCGCCCCAGCGCCGCGGCACTCACCTTAAACATTTGCAAGAACTTCATGGATGGAGGGCGGCTCCGTTTCAAAATGTGTCGTGGCTCTCGCCCTGGCTTCACGAACCTTCGTCTTGACATACATGCAATGGAGGCCAGGCCACAAGAAATCGTCCACAAGAAACCCAACGCTGTAACCCCAGGACGTCCATCGAAATTTTGGTGTGGAAACGTCACGCCTTCCATAGAACAGCCATCGAAAACCCGAGAAACCCGGAACACCCTGGAGGCAAGCAGGGTGTTTCTTGGCATGGATCTCCAATGTGCTGCACGAGCTTCACGAATGGAGGGCGTCTCCGTTTCAACATGTGTGTGTGTGTGTGGCTCTCGCCCCTAGTGCCGCACACCTTCGTCTTAACAGTTCACGGCCGTTCCACCAAGGATTCTCATGGCTGACGTCCAGGAAATTCTGCTCTGGCGCAGGGCGCGGCAGCCAATGTATTCGCAGTGGTGACGTTCCAGAGGTGGTGTTCTGGCACGAGTTAGGATCGTCCAGTCGCAGCGGCACCTAGCGTTCATTCGTGGCGTTGAAGCCCCCGAAATGGTGTGTTGGCACGGCTGAAGGTTTTCAGGCGGCGCAAATGGGGCTGTTCCCGCGGTAAAGGTACATCCTCATAGGAGCCTGTGGCGAGAGAACTAGGAGGGAGGGTTAATAGCAACATCGTGGATGCGTCTTGTGTTTACGCTGGTCCTCGTCTTCTCCATCCCCTGCTCCAGCTCCTCGTGTTCGTCCTCTTCTACCCCCCCATTCGAGCTGCCACCACTTCCCCCTCCTCCTCCTCCTCTTCCACGCCCCCCCCCTTCCCCCGCCATCACCTCCCCGTCACTGCCGCCCTCGCCGTCGTCGCCTCGCCGTGCTCGTGCTCGCCACTGGCCCTCGCCGCCGCCAGCGTGGTCGCCGCCGCCACCGTGGTCGTCGTTCAGGGTCGTCGTCGTCGTCGTCGTCGTCGTCGTCGTCGTCGTCGTCGTCGTCGTCGTCTTCGTCGTCATGGTGGTCGTGGTCCTGGTCGTGGTCGTGGTCGTCGTCCGCCGCCGTCGCACCTTTCCTCCGCGCCGGCCGCGAGAAAGGCCTCGGAGCTGGCCTGGGGGCCCTGCCAGGCGGAGGGCCGCAGCCGACGCAGGGTGAGGCTCAGGCGCCGGGGCCCGCGCAGGGAGTCCTCTCGGGGGGAAGGGGTGGCTGGGAGGGGACGCGAGAGGGGGAGGGTGACGGCGACGGTGCCCGCAAGCGTGCCCACGCGAGGGGACCAGGCGGGGCGGGGCCGGAGCGCCCGGGCAAGCAACTGACCCGAGGCGGCCGGCGGGGGCATCGCGGCTGGCAGGCTCATGCATGATGCACGGGACTGCAGGCTGCAGCTCGAAGAGAAGATGCAGCCGGGAGGCCGCGCCCGCTGGGAGGTTCCCGCCGGGAAGGAGCTGTGGGCATTGGCGTGAACTAACTTGCTCTTTGCTCCTCCTCCTCCTCCTCCTCCTCCTCCTCCTCCCTCCTCCTCCTCCTCCTCCTCCTCCTGAGCCTGCGGAAGAGGAGAAGGAGCCCACCTTGTCATGGGGGCGCCACGTCTCCAGGGCCCGGGGTGATGGGGAGGTTGGCGAAGGCAGGGCTCGTGGCATGCCTGCTGCTGTGGCCGGCCGGGCGCGCCGCCCCTCCCATGCGACGCACGTGCTGAACACGGTGCCCCCTGCCCGTGTGGAGCACGAGCCAAGCACGAGCAGCGAGCGGGATAAACCGCAATAGAGTAAACGAGCTGGGTGCGCTCGCGCCGTGGCTGTCAACCTGGCATCCTGCACGTCGTTCATCTCTAGCCGTGCTCGTTTCTAATTGTCCTCGTTTCTAATTGTTCCTGGCCCCCTAGTGGCCAGGAAGAGGCCCAGTATAGAGCAATTAGAAACGAAAGGATCCCCCAAAATCAAAGAACTTCCGAATACTTCGAAACGATCAATGTGTACCATCCTGCCCCTCCCACCGATTTCTTCCCATTGCGCGGTTTGTTTGCTCTCCACCCGCCGACGGCTGTCTCAACGGGCGGGGACCCCTCACAAGGACACCGTCGTGTTGTACGCAGTCAGGGAGGGAGAACTGTGTACATTGGACGAGGTGATGGTGGCGAATGAGCATGAGGAGGAAGAGGAGGAGGAGGAAGAGGAGGAAGGATGACCAGTGTAAATCAAACGCTCCTCAAGGATGTTGCAATAAGCCATCCCTCCAAGTTCCCTCTTCAAAGGTCCCTGCTTACATGTACTTCATTGCGGGAAGTGCCCCATTGGAAAACAACAGTCCGAGAATCTTCAATCGCGCTAAAACGCAATTCCTTCGGCGTTGGACAAACCTCCCTTTAGTAAACCTGCCTTTAATGAAAACGGCCTGGGGCCGAAACCAACCAACGGACCTGGACCCGCAAAAATGACGGCCGCGACGCCCTCCCGCGAATCGAAAACGGCCGATTCACTAATCGATGTGTCAGGGTAGGAGGTCTGTCCACCTCCGATTCCTGGGACTTCAGCGCCGCGAGTCCACTTGACTATTGCGTCCTGACGACCCTACATCGTGCCAGAACGCCATTCCTGGGACTTCAACACTGCGAATCAAGGTGACTGCTGCGTCCGGACAATCCTAAATCGTGTTGAAACGGACTTCCAGGGCTTAGTGGGCCCTGGAAACGACAAGGTCGTTTTTTTACCGGTTCCGTTTTGCAGTTTTTTTGCCGGTTCCGACGCCGTTTTTTTTACCGGTTCCGTCGCCGTTTTTCGACCGGTTCAGGCTCCGGTTCCAATCCTGGAGCCGTTTTTTTGCCGTTTCCGGTCGCCGTTTTTTTGCCGTTTCCATTTTCAAGGGACGTTTTTTGGAAACGGTGAAAAAAACGGCCCTGCCGTTTCCGGGGCCCACAAAGTTCCAGGGACTTCCCCCATACGAATCCTAAATCGTGTTGAAACGCACTTCCAGGGACTTCCCCCATGCGAATCCTTATTACCAGCCTCGAACGTATCCCTATCCCTAAGATTCACACGCCAAAAGGCGATGACAATCTTAGGGATCCGCCCTCAAAAAATAAGGGAATCCCTAAGATTGCCATCGTGATGAGGAGGTGCCCAGCATAGGGATAGGGATATGTTCCAGGATGGTAACCTTAACATTGCCGCAAGACTTCCAAACAACGGCTCGAACGACCCGCCCTCCATCTGTGGGGCTGCTGCAGACTTGCTACCGGGTGAGCGCGGCGCCAACGCAAGAACCGCACTTTGAAAACTGCCCGCCCTTGATCCCCTCCTCCCCCTCCTCCTCCTCCTCCGTGAAGCTGCTGCAAGCTGTCTAAAGACAACCGTGCGCGGCGCTGAAACGACCGCTACGTCTTGAAAAACGGCCCGCCCTCCACCCGTGAAGCTGTTGCGGATGAAAAGCTCCGGGGCATGGACTGTGAGGAATTCTCAAAGCGAAGCGCCCTGCGCGCCCTGTCGACACGTCTGACGGCGCGACAGGGAGGAGTTACTGATAAGGACAAACGATTGATGGAGGAGGAGGAGGAGGAGGAGCGTGAACTATGAACGCATGACTCTCACACCTCAGCCACCTCAACGGCGCGCCAATTCTAGCTGGAAATGTTGGCAACGGCCACGGGGCCGACATTCGATCCAGTTCGGTGCGAGTCAACGAAGACCACGGCCACTTGTCCCAATCTGCGGGCATTACCACTGTGAGGTCGGGCATGTCCCCCTACAGGCGGATTTCGGGCGACTATGTTCAAACATTTTCAAACATAGTCAGGCAACAATACTAAACATAGTCCCCTTTTTGGGGCTATCTTTTAATCTTTCTCCTGTAGAGGGACAGGCCCGACTTGATACCACTGAGGTGTGCGAGAGGCGGGTGCTCACCAAGAACAACGCGGGGGAGGCCTCCACCAGGTGCCGAGCAGCCCTTACCGTCATCACCTTGGCCGAGGCCAGGCGAGACACCGCACGACGTGCCCCCATGGGAATCCGTGGGAGAGGAGGGGGGGGGAGGAAGAGGAGGGGAGGGGAGGCGGGGAGGAGGGGAGGAAGAGGGGGGGGGAGGAGGGGAGGGTAGAAGGGAGGGGAGGAGGAGAAGGGGGAGGAGGGGAGGGGAGGGGGGGGGGAGGAGGGGAGGAGGAGGGAGGGGAGGGGCGGTGTGAAAAGAAGCGCGCCTGCCCCGCCGACGTGGCACCTCTACCTGAGAAGTCCCGATCATCCGGGGCGCGAGCGGGCTCGTGAGAACAACCTGGTGGGGCCCAAGTGCACTGCCTGCCGGAGCGTGTGTGGGAGTCTGGTGGGCGAGTGTGCTTCTGAAGCAGTCAGAGGACGAGTGGCTCTGCACACGAGTGGGCCTGAGCGTGAGTGAGTCCGAACACCAGCGCGTGTGGGTGCGAGTGGGCCTGCGTGCGTGATCCGCGCCTGGGTGCATCCGAGCGCGAGCGAGAGGAGGGAGCAGGCGAGTGAGTGAAGCGGCGGCGCGACACCAGTGATAGCCTCCTGCTTGGGACACATGGGATCGAATCGCCTGAAGCGCTCGTCGGCATCAGGCCCCTTGGTCCCTGCCCTTCCGTTCGCCCGGGCCCGCGAAAACCCGCGCATGAGATGGCATGAAGGGGCCCCAGGACACAAAAAAAAAATACACACAAATAAACAGATGCCACATATTTTCCAATATTTTCTGTGTTTCTGTCTTCCCCCCACTTCCCATATCTTCCTATATTTCCGAAGGAATCAAGGATGAATTGTGTCTGTGTGTTTCTTTTCCTCCTGATGACAGCGCGTCATCGCGAGCCGACCGAGCATCAGCCGCGTGCAGGGCGAGCGGCGGCACGGGCCGCTTCTCGCCCGAGGCGGTGCTCTCCTCTCGGGGGGGAGCGGCAGCCGCGGCACGTCGACGCAGAGGTGTCTGCTCTGCTCCAACACCGCGCACTCCACGTACACTCAGGTCGGGCATGTCCCCCTGCAGGCGGATTTTGGGTGAATAATCAAAAATATCCCCCAAACCGTGGGACAAAATCAAAAAATATCGTCCCTAGACTATTTTTCGGGATTACTTTTGGCCATTCCTCCTGTAGGGGGACAAGCCCGAATTAAACTTGCCCCCTGTGGCTCTGGTCTTCGGCCACCGCCGGTACAGTCGGGGCGTTGACCTAAGGAACCCTAAATAAGGAACGAGGGCCCTTTTTTCATACATTGAACTTCGACTTCCCATCGAAAACCTACGGAAAACCAATGGCGAACTCTAAAACAACTAAGGAACACCGAGCCACATCCCAGACGAAGAGGGTTCCTTCTTCAGCGCCCCGACGGTATGCGCTTTGAGTCATACGCGCGTGTGTCTCAATCCTGGGGTCGTGTGGCGGGCGGAGTCCCCGCGCCGTGCAGGTCCCACGGCGCCCCCACCGAAGCGGCGGGACGTGGGAAGGGCGGAGAGGAGCATCCATTACCAGCCTCGAACGTATCCCTATCCCTAAGATTCACACGCCAAAAGGCGATGACAATCTTAGGGATCCGCCCTCAAAAAATAAGGGAATCCCTAAGATCGGCATCGTGATGAGGAGGTGCCCAGCATAGGGATAGGGATATGTTCCAGGCTGGTAAATCCATGAGGAGCTGCCGAGATCGCGCGTTTCGCTTCCTTCGCGGGAGGGGTGGATGGTGGGTGGAGTACAGTCGGGGCGTTGACCTAAGGAACCCTAAATGTGGAACGAGCCCCCTTTTTCTCATAAGTTAAACATCGATGTCCCATGGAACACCTCAGGAAGACCTGAGGCAAACTGTTAAACAATCAAGGAACGCTGAGCCCTCCCCAACGACAAGGGTTCCTTCTTCAGCGCCCCGACTGTACAGGATTCGGCCTGACCCAAGGAACGATAGAGAAGGAACGAGGCTGCTTTTGTTCCGCGTGAGTCTACGAAGTCCGAAGGAACACCGGGGGGGCTCGCCGCCAACAAGGTAGCAGAACGCATGCAAACCAAAGGAAAGACCGAGCCCCTTTCCAGAAGTATGTGTTCCTTGGTCAAGCCGGACCCTGTAGCAGGTGAAGCCGGCACGGCTCAGAAGCAAGGACAGGTGGGGATGAGGACGGCGAGGACCGACGAGATGTGCTGCCTCGGGGGAGCGAGGCCCGCGTGGGGGAGAGGAGGAGGCAGAGAAGTACACGGCAGCACGCTCTGCGCTCCTGCGCGCCCCGAGCTGGCCGGGCGGTGGGCGGGCGCCGTGCCCGGAGCAGTGGCTGCTCAGAGGCGGCCTTTGCCGCCGCGCCCCTTCGCTGCAGCCCTCTTCGCTGGTGCCTTCTTCGCCGGAGCCTTCTTCGCTGCGGCCTTCTTCGCGTGGGCCTTCTTCGCGTTGGCCTCCTTTGCGTTGGCCTTCTCCTGTCCGCCCGAGAGAACGGCCTCGGCGTCGGCGGTCCTGGTCTTCAGGAGTCTGAGGCGGGACACCATCTGCACAACCTTGGGGTCCTTGTTGACCTCCTGTCGGGTGTGTCCCGCCTTTGTCAGGGACGCCTTCCGTTGCGTGAGGGCCGCCCCCAGGGTGTCCAGCTCGTTGCCCTTCTTCTCGTCTTTTTTTGGGACCTCGGCCTCGATGACCTTCTCGCCCTCCTCAGTGTCTTCATCGTCGGCAGGCTTGTCATCCGTCTCGGCCTCCTCAGCCTTCTCTTCGGCAGGCTCTGCAACCTCCTTCTCCTCGCCTTCCTTCGTCTCCCCCGTCTCGTCCGCCTTGTCCCCTGCCTCGGCCTCATTCTCGCCTTCCTCCGTCTGATCCACCTTGTCCTCCGTCTCGGCCTCCTTCTCTCCTTCCTCCGTCTCCTCCGTCGCGTCCGCCTTGTCCTCCGTCTCGGCCTCCTTCTCGCCGTCGCTCGCGTCCTCTGTCGCGCCCTCCGCCTTGTCCTCCGTCTTCCCCTCCGACTCCTCTTGGGTCTTCTCGGGGGCCTCCGTCCCCTCGGAGCCCTGCACGGAGATGTCAGTCTGGGCGTTGCTGTTCAGCTGCAGGTCGGGGGCCGATCCCTTCAGCCGCCACGCGAAATGGTCGATCCAAGTTCCGCACCACTGGTGCTCTCCGGCACCCGTGCGCTTCCTGTCGCAGTCGTTGAACTTGTCTACCATCTCGAAGCCGTTCTCTTCCAGGAAGCCGAAGAACTTCTTGTAGTCCATGCAATTCTTTTTGCAGTCCTTTGCCCCCACGGGCATGTCTCCCTCGATGATGATCAGCTTGATCTGACCGCTCTTGATGGGCTCGCCGATCTGATCCATCATGAACTGGGCGCAACCTTCGCAATCGATCAGGAGGGTGTCCACCTTACTTCCCAAAGCCTCCTGGACCTCATGGAAACGGAAGCCTGGCACGATCTTTCCGCCCTTCTCCACGGGCCGATTCGAGTAGCCGCGCTTCTTATTTAACGTCGCAGCGACGTGGAGGTCCGTGGAGCTGACCGCACCCTTAAGCATGCGGGCGTTGCAAGAGTGGGCGTGCAGGTTGTGCTCCAGGAATTCCCAGACATTGAGGTCTGGCTCTACGACGACCAGGTTGCCACTGTTGTTCTGCTGCTTCGCGATCTCACAACTGGTTGTACCAAACCTGGCGCCGAATTCCATCACGGTGGCGTCGGCCGGGATCCACGCACGCACCAGATTGTGCTCCGGGTACTCGATCTCGCAATTCAGCCCCTCGCCCTTCCAGCTGCTGCAGTCGTCCGAAACGGATTTGGCCTTCCCTCGGAACTTCTTCGCCAGGCTGAAGAGCTGGTCGTTCTTCAGCGTCTGCACCATGTCGCCACGCTTGCCGCCCTTGGCGTGCTTGGACTTGTGCTGGCTGGGGACGCCCAGGTCCAGCTTGTGCTCGCTGAGCTTGCCAGTCGCGCCCTCCTCTCGGGGGTGGCCAGCAGTCTGCCTTCGGCGGCGAGCGAGGGGGGAGAGAAGGAAGGGGAAGGCCTTCTCGGAGGGCGGCGCGGGACCTCTTAGACGCCCTCTTGCGCCTTCTGAGAGGTTTTTTTCTCCGTCTTCGGGGAAGGCTTCGAACACTTCACAGAAGGCCGAGCGAGGGACTTCCGAGCCTTCTGAGAAGGCCTTCGCCTTCTCACTTACCCGCTTGCTCGCCGCCGATCTTTGGCAACACACCAACGCACCCGCAAGTGAGAACGACCCAAGACCAGAGAACAGCGGCCGCAGGCCCGCAACAACCGCAGCCGCAGCATCCCTTCGAGAACCCGAGGAGGGCAATTCGCTAATCGACCTGGCAGGGAAGAGGGCATTGCTATCAATTCGCAAATTCCTGACGTCAGCGGCGATAAGCAATGACGACCAGTTCCTATCATCACCCCCTCCCCGCCAATTCCTGTCAATTCAACTCAAGCAGTGACGACAACGACGACGACTAACACCCCAATTCGCTAATTCGCTAATTCGCGAAAAGGGCAGTTCTATCAACCTCAGATCCTCCAGCTTCTCCACGCGGTGACCAAGCAGGGCGAGGCACAGTGCGATGCGCACGTCGCCGCCGAACGTGACGATGCGGTCCACGCACTGCTGCCAGTCCGAGGACGCAATGCTGTCGACGAGGCCCGCACTGAGGATGATGCCGTCGCCACCCTTGGCCCACTGGAACCAACTGTCGTCGCGGAACGGCATCGGGTCGCAATCTTTGTTGACGTCCGTGATGTCAGAGGTAAGGTTGACGGACCTAGTGGAAGACTAACTGCACACACACATAACCTTTCGGAGGTTCGCGCCAATGTCTTGGATCTGCGCTGAACCCCCTCCATGGCGCGCGGAACGCGCCAGGGGCGTCGCTGCAGGCGCTGGCAGGGGGCTCCAGCGTAGATCCAAGAAATCCGCGCGGACCTTGGAACATTTATGTATACACTGCTCCTGTTTCATTCAAGACCAGAGCCGAAGTCCGTCATCAGGCCTGAGCTTGGGGCAGCTCGACAGCGCTGTCTCGTAGCCGGCCGGCCGCGTCTGGTTGTTGCCGCGCTGCCCGAGCTTGGAAATGCCGAAGTAATGGGGATCCTTCGGGTTGAACTCCTCCAGGGCCTGCTCGATCGTCTCGAGGTTGAAAGTGGTGTCGTCGTCGCCAAGGAGCAGCCACCTGAGCGGCGAACAGGAACGGTTCTTACGCGAGAAGCGACCTCACGCCGCGGCTCACGCGGGCCGCCAGCGTGGCACACCGCGTGGAGAGGAGGGCGCTTACGGTTACGCGCGGCCTTGCGCGCGAAGCCTACGCGTGAATGCCGGCGCAATTGACATCGTTCCTCTCCGCTCGCCATCGCTCGGACGTCCATTCCCTGTGTTTTTTTCGGTTCCGTGCGTGTTTTTTTCGCCAAATGATCAAGGATGCTCCTCGATGGCCCTCGCCGAAGGAAAAATGCACACGTCCGAGCGATGCCACGTCCGTGGCCTGCCTGAAGCCGTGGTTCGTGCTGTTGGCGAGCAGGGTGGCGCCCATGAACTTGTTGTCCGCGTCGGCGCGGTTGCAGGGGCGCTTGTGGGTGCCCACGGCGGGGGTCGAGCAGAACTGCATGGGAGTGATCGCGTGGACCTTGAATGGGGTGGCCTTGGGGTTGCCATCCTGTGAGGGGGAACGCTCGCCATCGCTCGGACGTCCATTCTCTGTTTTTTTCGGTTTCGTGCGTGGTTTTTTCGCCAAATGATCAAGGATGTTCCTCAAGGGTCCCCGCCGAGAAAAAAATACACACGTCCGAGCGATGCCAGGGACGTTGAAGAGGGGGGCGGCCAGTTCGGGGGTGGGGGGAACATCAAGTCGGCATCGGCGACGCATCGCCGACAGATGGCCCACCGGGGATGCCTGGGCGACTGGGGGTCGCCGCGGCCCACCCTGGCAGTCGGGTCAGAGCTCGGGCCTCCGGCGGCGGTTTTCTGGACGATCCGGGACCCCTTAGGAACGCTCTCGGCGAGGCGCCGCCGCGGGAGCGCACCCCGCGGCAGGCCGCCGAGGACCAACGGGAGCGTCCGCAAACCTCAGACCTGAAACCTCGAAGCTTCCCCCCCTGCTTACCAGCCTGGAACAGATCCCTATCCCTATGCTGGGCATCGCCTCATCACGATGGCGATCTTAGGGATTTCCTCAGTTTCTGAGGGTGTATCCCTGAGATTGTCATCTGTCATCTCCTTTTAGCGTGTCAATCTTAGGGATAGGGATCGGTTCGAGGCTGGTGACCTGCGCCTGTCCGCCCCCTGCCGTCGCCCCTGATCCTGGTCGGTGCCGTCCATGTTGACCTCTTGCGGCAAGCAAGGGGGGTGGGGGGGGGGCGCGGTGGAGCAGGCTTCCGGCCAAGGCTGGGGGGACCTTCCGCGAGGGGCGCTGCCCTTGCATCCGGGGATCGCTCAAAGGTGCCCCTGGCCCCAGGTGCTCCAGCTGCTCGCACACTTTCGGAGCCCCTGGGGCCCGCTGGGCCTCGTGATGGGGTGCTCTGGAGGCCGTAGTGGCCTCCTTGGAAGTCCTGGCGGCTCCATGGGCCAGGGGCACTTCTACTAGCAAACACCCGATGCACGGAGGCCTCCGTTGAGGCGCCCCGGGATGCAGGAAGGCTGCCAAGAGAAACGGAGATCCCTCCTACCCAGACGCTAGAGGGCTCGGTGCTTCCGAGACTCGGGGCCCCTGGCATCTCGACTTCTTCCCAGGGACCAGCGATTCCTCCTGAGCTGCTCTTTGACAGGCCACGGGGCCTCGAAAGCGGCCTCCAGCGAAGCCGGAAAGACGCCGAAACGAGAAGCCGTGCAAACGACATGCTCGAATCTCTGGAGGTCTGGCTCAGAGCCGCCCCTTTCGCCCCGCGCCCCGTCGACGTGGGCCTCTTTGAGAGCTGCGCTGCATGGCTTCTCACGCCCCGGCGAGGGTGGGCGCTGCCTCCTCTGTCTATAGGCCCAGACCCCCGACACGATGCTGTTCACAGCGTGGACCCACCCGCAGGTCTGGACCCCTTCCCGGGGGCCGGCTGTTCCCCTCGAGATGCTTTTCGGGGGCGGCCAAGAGGGGGGCGTCCAAGAGGGAGGGGGGGGGGGGCAAATCGTGGCCGGCGCCATGTGCGCGCCCCAGGGGTGGGCCAGGAACGTAACGAAACAAGCAGAGACGCCATGCAATCTGAGGAAAACATGTCATGGCCCACGCCATGACATCAATTCCCCCCTAGTCATCAGCCCCCTCTTTGCCGCCCCCGAGTTTAGCAGTTTTTTTGTGTTCCTTCTTCTTCTTTTTCTCTTTCCAACCTCATAAGGTTTGGTTGAAGGTTTAGTTGAACAGCGGGGACGGAGGCGACGCTCCCCTGTTGCTGACCCTACCTGCAACGCTTTGGGAAGCAGGAAATCGTGGAGACGCGAGGGACGTCGCGACTCCAACGTCGACCACACACCACAGGCCTTGGCCTTGCTGCGAGGATGTGGGGGGGCGCAGAGCGCCGAGTGGCAGGCGCTGCCACAGGCCCCCAAGGGCCGATCCGAAGAAGCAACCCAATGCCTCCCGTCGTGACCGTTGCTTTGGCGGCCCGAGGGGGTCCGGGGAGCCAGGCGCCGGAGCAATAGCAGCCCCCGCCTCGAGAGCGGGGCCGAGGGGCCCTCGGCGCGCAGTGGGGTGCCTGCGCTCCGGCGACGCGATCTCGTCGTCGAGGTCGTCGTCGTCGTCGTCGTCGTCGTCGTCGTCGTCGTCGTCGCCACGGTCGTCGTCGTCGTCGTCGTCGTCGTCGTCGTCGTCGTCGTCGTCGTCGTCGTCGTCGTCGTCGTCGTCGTCGTCGTCGTGGTCGTCGTCGTGGTCGTGGTCGTGGTCGTGGTCGTGGTCGTGGTCGTGGTCGTGGTCGTGGTCGTGGTCGTGGTCGTGGTCAGCGTCGTCGTCGTCGTCGTGGTCGTCGTCGCCGCCGCCGTCGTCGTCGCCGCCGTCGTTGCCCCGCCCCGCCGGGAGGGGCCTCGGCCTCCTCGTGGCTCGTGAGCAGCAGCGAGGCCCCCTGGGCCTTCGCGCGCCTGCCCTGCTCCTCGAGCAGGTCGATGCCGCCGGGGTAGCCGTTCAGCACCACGAGCATGGAGCTGCGCCTCGGGGTGGGGGAGGAGGGGGGAGGGAGGAGGGAGAAGGGAGGAGGGAGGAGGGGGGAGGGGGGAGGGGGGAGGGGCAAGCTAGGTGCGCTCGCGTCATATCTGACGTCCTACCCCTCCCTCCCATCCCTTACCATGGCGCTGATTTTCTCTATCCGCGGACGCGTGTCGTAGCGGACCTGTGGCTCCGCGCGCGCGTGCGTAGTGGGTGGTGGTGCACGTGCGTGCGTGCGTGTGTGCGTGTGTGTCGTGGTTGGTGGTGGTGGTGGTGGTGGTGGTGGTGGTAGTGGTGGTGGTGGTGGGTGGTGGTGGTGGTGGTGGTGGTGGTGGTGGTGGTGGTGGTGGTGCGGCGCGGTGGTGGCGGGCGGATGGGCGCGCGAGAAAGAGGCCCGCGCTGGGGCGAGAACGCCATCCTGAACGACGGAGGCCAAACACCGATCCGAAAATGAGGCCGGGAGGGGGGAGGGGGGAGGGGGGAGGGGGGAGGGAGGAGGGGCCGCGGACGGCAGTCGGGATCCACCGGCCCAGGCATCGGCGACGCGCAGAAGTGCCCCTTTGCCGTCGCTCGGACGTCCATTTCCCGTGCATTCGTCGGTTTCGCGCGTGTTTTTTGGCTCGATGGTCCAGGATGGTCCTCGATGGTGCTCGCCGAGAAAAACATGCACACGTCCAAGCGATGCCGAGACCCTGGGTAAGAGTGACCTCTGGTGCGGGGCTTCTTGGAACCCGCGGGGGGGACCAACACTCAAGCGCGCAAGACGCTTCGATCGCATCGCGTTCGGCGATCGGGAGACCTGGTGGGTCCGCACCAAAGGCCACTCCGGCGAAGGGTCACTCCTACGCGTAGTCGAAGACATGATCGTGTCGTCGTAACAAGAATCAAGACGGGAAATCTTTGGCCAATCTCGGCATCGGGGGGCCCTCGCCGGGCCTCGGGGCCGTCAGCAAAAAGACTCAGGATGAAAAGCCAGTCCCCGGGAAAGGGTCGGGACTTCCACAGGCCCCGCATTGAAAAAATCAGACGCCCGCCTCGCCCCCCTCGCGCCCCCACCCCCCATGGGCGCCGCCACGTTGAGGAAATCGTTAGCATGCAGCTATCGGGGACGCACTGGCCGCCTGGGTCAGTGCAAACCCGGGCTCGTCAGGCTCTGCAGGACCCAGCAAGATCCTGCAGGATCCTGCCCGCAAGCCCAGGTCAATGCACCCCTGGCTCTGCAGGATCACGCAACCCTGAGCTCCAACGGCGCGAAAAATTGAGACCTCGTTGAAAATCACGACTGGAGCCCTAGGACCTCATCTTTGTACGCCACTTGTCAAACCCGATCGATCTGTGAGGGTCCCGTGGCCCGAAACCTGACGAAAACGCCCGGCTCGGAGAAATTGGAACGCCAGGATCTCAGGGACGATCCCGCGCTCTGGCTGACACCCGCTTGCATTGACCCCCGTCTCTTCAGCCCCGAGGCTCTCGAGGAGGCTCAGACACGAAGGACAGATCTCAGTGCCTCACCAACTTTGTCTGGGGGAGCGAGGAAACGGCAGAAGGCATAAAGTTTGGGAGGTCCGCGCAGATTTCTTGGATCGGCGCTGGACTCCCCTCCCTGGCGCGCGGAGTGCGCCAGGGGCGGCGCCGCCAGGGGAGGGGGTGCCCAGCGCCGACCCCCGTTTGTCGGGATCTACCACAAGGGGGGGTGACCCTGAGGGGGGGGCAGATGAGTTCGATCCGTGGGTGCACCGAACTGCCGCAGACAAGTGTCCCCCCCCTGTGTGCCCCACGCCCGAACTATAGGCAACTATCGGGAGCTGCCGGCGGCTAGGGGGCATCTGTTTTGGGCGGTGCGGTGCAAAATCCGATCGAACTCACACGTCCCTCTGGGTCCCCCTCCCTTTGCGGGATCCCGATGCAGTCGCACATAGGACAGAAGTACATCCTTCGAGAACATAAGACCCTCTGCTGGTCAAACTGGAGAGCATTCGAGGGTACCCTCCCCCAGGATGCACAAGAACATCCAACAGGCACCGACGAAAACTGGGGTACCCTCGCCGAAGCGACCTCGATCTTATAACTACCTCGGTCCGACTGTATCCTGCAGGCCCCCTCGAGCCGCGACAGGAGGTCGCGGCGGGAAGTCTCTCGAAGAGGCCTCGCCCTCGCCGGGACCTCGGGCCGTCGAACGACGGCTCGGGGCGAACAGCTGGTCCCGGGGAAGGGGCCAAGGCCAAGACCGGCGGGTGGCCCATGCTGTGAGCGAAATCACGACGTCGGAGGCCAGGGATGCACCAGCTCCGATCCCGGCCAGGCCCGTCCTGGGCGCGGAGATCGGTCTATACGCTCTCCGTGGCCTGGCCAGGCAGGCCCATAGCGGGCATCCTTATAGGATCGGCGATTCTCGAGGTTTCCCCGATCGCTCGTGCTCAACTTCACGCACGAGGAACCCCAGGCATGGTGCGCGGCTTGCTGCCCAGTGAGTGCGGTCCGACAGTACAGTCGAGGCGTTGACCTAAGGAACCCTAAATAAGGAACGGGGCCCCATTTTTCCATAAGTCAAACTTTGACTTCCCATCGAGAACCTAAGGAAAACCTCAGGCAAGCTGCAAAACAATGAAGGAACACGGAGCCCCTCCCCAACGAGAAGGGCTCCTTCTTCAGCGCCCCGACTGTAAAGGCGGCCTGCGTGCTCGGGCTGGTCCCCCCCCCGCGCCCCCCGAAAGCCGCGCGCCGAAGGTCGCCCTGGCGACAGGTCACTCGGCTTTCGAATCCCAGACATGATCGCGTCGTAAGACTCAAGGGGCCCAAGGACACACAAACACATACACACACATACAATTATTCCCCATATTTTCCTATATCTTCTGGGTTTGTGTCTTCCCCCCCACTTCCCATATTTTCCCATATTTCCTGGGGATCGACGATTAATTGTGTCTGTGTGTTTTTTCCCCTCCTGAAAGACATCAGGACGGGGGGTCTTTGACAATGTTCGGCCTCGGGGGGCCCTCGCCAGGCCTCGGGGGCGCCAACAGAACGACCCAAGATGAAAAACCTGTCCCGCGGAGCGGGTCGGGACTTCCAGGGGCCCCGTCCCGAAAAAATCAGACGCCCGCCCCCCTCCTCGCGCCCGCCCCCCTCGCGCCCGCCCCCCTCGCGCCCCCACCCCTCGCGCCCCCACCCCTCGCGCCCCGCCCGCCCGCCCGCCCCCCTCGCGCCCCCCTCGCGCCCCCCTCGCGCTTCCCTCGCGAACTGGGACCCCGTCCCGAAAAAAAAAGGATGTCGCATGTCTGGCGTCATAACTCGGGCCTCTGGCGGCCGTTCGGGGCCGTTCGGGCGAGGCGCCCCTGCCGGCGCACCCCGAGGCAGGAGCACGTCCCGGAGCAGAAGGAAACGCCGAGCACCCAGGGGAAGGCACCCCCTGCCGCACTCCCTCCTCCCGCCACGGCCGGGGCACCCGCCCACCTCTACGACGGGCGACCTGGTCCGGCCAAGCAGGCCCACGCACAGCTCCCGGGCTGGCGCAGGCAAGGGGGGGCCTGGCCGCACGACCCTGGGCGGGGCGCGGCAGGGCGTGGGCGAGTGGGACTCGGCGCGTCCTCCCCCCCCTCCCAGCGGTCAAGAGGTGGGGCTCTCGAGGGATGGGGCCCTTGGAAGAAGCCAGTGGGTACCGATGCCGCTCCTCCCCAGACCTCTCCCCGGATGCGCTCGGACCAGGACTTCGAGGCGGATCCAGCGGTGGCGGCGAGGGCCTCCCAGGAGGCCCCAGCGAGGGGCAACCCGAGGGAAGTGTAGCGGTATGGGTGCCTTTCCTCCTCTGAGTCCTGAGGACCCAGACCGGCGACGTCCTGATTGTTTCCATATGGGGTTCCTGGAAGTCCCGACCCTTGCCCCAGGATTGGTTTTTCATCTAGAATAATATTCTACGGTCCCGGCGAGGGCTCCCCGAGGCCGAAAGTGGTCAAAAACGTCCCGTCCTGATATTTCTAAACTCGACCATGTCTGGGGGTTTACGAGACGCTGTTGGAGGCACCTCGTGCCTCCCTCAGGGCCCCACCTTTGCACCACCGGCCCCCGACCCTGCCGTGGATGGGGGCGTTCGAGGCCGGGGCGTCCAAGAAGGGGGGGGGATGTCGGAGGCCATGGCCCGAGGCACGTGCGCGGCCATGGGGCCGAGGAGGAGGAGGAGGAGGAGGAGGAGGAGGAGGGGGAGGAGGAGGAGAGGAGGAGGAGGAGGAGAAGGGAGGAGGAGGAGCAGGGGAGGAGGAGGAGGGAGGAGGAGAGGGAGGAGGGAGGAGGAGGGAGGAGGAGAGAGGAGGAGGAAAGAGGAAAAGGAGGCCGAGGAGGAGGAGGAAGAGGAGGAGGAGGAGGATGAGGAGGAGGAAGGGCGCATGGAAAAAAGAGGAGGGGTCCATGAGAAAAGAGGGGAGGGAACGAAGGGCATATGCAGAAGGCATCTGTACACCACCACCACGGTGTCAAGCCAAGGCCATCCTGGCCCTGGCATGGTGTACACGCCCTCCCGACCGAGGCCAGGAGGGCTCATACGCCATCCCAGGGCCCAGGATGGCCCTGGCCCAGCACGGTGGTGGTGCCTAGATGCCTTCGTCGGAGGGCAGCAGTCTGGGGGACCCTTTCCTCCTCCTTTTCCTCCTCCTCCTCCTCCTCCTCCTCCTCGTCCTCCTAGATACCTTCGTCGGAGGGTCGCAGTCTGGGGACCTTTTTCCTCCTCCGATTGAGGCCCTCCGCGGGCGCCGCTGGCTGTCGCCCGCGTCCCGGCGCTCGAGCTGCAGGCCGCCGCACTCGGCGGCCAGGCCCGCGAGGAGCAGCCCGCGGGCGAGCATCGCGAGGGGGCGGGGGGCCGCTGCGCGGACGGGGCGCACGTGGGCGTTGCTCCGTGGGTGGGCGGTACATTTTTTTATTTTTTGTTTTTTTGAGGCGGTACAAGAAACCTTCAACAAGACCTTCAAGAAACCTTGGAGGCGATTTTTGTTTGTTTTTTGTTTGAGGCTCGTCCACGAGAGGCCTTCAACAGGAAGCCCAGCCCTGAGACCCCAGGACGTCCGTGGATGTTTGGTGCACGAGCGTCACGCGGTTCACGGCAAGGCCAGCGAGACCCAAGAAGCCCAGGGCGCCCTGGAGGCAAGCAGGGCGTTTCTTGGCATGGGTCTCCACTGGAGGTGAGCGCACACAAATGAAGTGGCCCTGGGACACACGAATGAATAGACACGAATAACCGCATTCCTATATATATATATATATATATATATATATATATGTGTAATCCCATCTTTTCTGTTTTTGTCTTCCCCCCACTTCCATATTTTCCAACATTTTCTGGGGAGTCGACGATCAATTGTGTCTGTGTGCTTTTTCCCTCCTGAGCAAGGACGCCCTGCAGGGTGGTGCCGTGCCGACTTCGGCGCTGGCTCCCGACACCGCGAGGATCGTTCAACCTTGAACGATCGGGCGTTTCCGAAACGCCAGCTTTAAGTCGGGCGTGTCCCCCCACAGGGGATATTCGACGAAAAATGAAACATATTCAAACAAATACTCCAAAATGACAAGAAATACCAAAACCATAATCCCCAGACTATTTTTTGACTATTTTGAAGATTCCTCTTTTAGAGGGACGGGCCCGACCTAACGCCAGCTCGGTCAACATCCACCGATTATGGGTCGCAGGCGGCGTTCCAAATTGAACGCTGGCGGCGGGGTCGCCGCCGGTCGACACGACGCGAACCTGCCGTGCACGAAGTTGGCCCCCCAGTCTGCGAGGCCAGCTCCGTGCTACGGACGTTCGCGCCGTGCGTAACTCCGAAAACAGCGTGGATTCATGTACGTGAACGTCCTGCCTTCGCTCCTGAAAGCGGAGGAGTGGGTGGTCGAGGCAACGTGCACCTCTCGCTGCCCTTCCGGGCCCCAGGGGGCCGAGAGGGTGCACGAGAAGGCGCACCCTGCTTCTGCCCCCCCGGCCCGCGGATCGCCCCTCCCACGGCGCAACGCCCGAGGCACGTCGTATGGATGAGAACCGGTTGGCCTGATACGGAGCCGGTGGCTGGCTGCGGAGGCCCCCCCCGCTCAGCTCGTGGGGCTCCGCCCTCCCCCGGGAGGGGAAGCAGAGGATGAGCAGAGGATGGAGGGCGACGGAGGAGGAAAACGGAGGCCACGACGAGGGTCACGACGATACGGACGCCGAAGGACGACGACGACGACGACGACGACGACGACGACGACGACGACGACGACGACGACGACGACGACGACGACGACGACGACGACGACGACGATAGCGGCGACGCCTATGGCCAGGACCACGGCGACAACGCTCACAACGACTGGGGCGAGGGGATGGGCGCGTGCGACGCGTGTGGGGGGGGAGTGGGCGGCGGAGGGCTTGGGAGGCACCGGCTGGCTCCTCCCCTTTTGGGATCAGTCTGCACCGCCCCTGCTGTCACCACCCGCCTCCGGCGCCTCCCGCCTCGCAGGTCCCTCCCCGGCCGCCCTGGGGCCGGCCCCAGCTCCGTGTGCTGCTCTGGTCCTTCTTCCTGGTCGGTCGCCGCCCTCCTGCACTCCTGCCACTTCTCCCCTCTTCGACCCCCTTCTTTTCCTCCCTCCCCCCCTCCTCCCTCCCTCCTCCCTCCCCCCCCCCCCGGCTCTCCTCTTCCCTCCCCCCCATCCCCCCCTCCTCCCTCCCCAGTCTCCTCCGTGCACCCGCTGAATTCCTGCGGCTCCCTGTGCCCTGCCCCTCGGGCGGCGGGGGGGTCCGCGCGTATCTCGTGCGTCCAGCGGTGCCTGGCCTCCCCGCACATCGCGTACACGTCGCCAGCGCCGACGTCGACCTTCATGGCCTCCTCTTCCTCCTCTTCCTCTTCCTCTTCCTCCTCCTCCCTCTCCTCCTCCTCCTCCTCCCTCCTCCTCCTCCTCCTCCTCCTCCCTCCTCCTCCCCTCCTCCTCCTCCTCCTCCTCCTCCTCCTCCTCCTCCTCCTCCTCTCCCTCCTCCTCCTCCTCCTCCTCCTCCTCCTCCTCCTCCTCCTCCTTCTCCTCCTCCTCCTCCTCCCCTCCTCCATATCCTCTCCCTACTCCTCGATCACTGAGCTCCCCCATCGAGCCCTCGGTCGCTTCGGCCCTTCTGGCTTCCCTGGCCCCAGAGGGCCTCTCCCTCCTTCTCGTCGCTGTCGTCGTCGTCGTCGTCCTCCTCCTCCTCTTCCTCCTCCTCCTCCTCTTCCTCCTCCTCCTCCTCCTCCTCCTCCATTCCGTCATTATAAATAATTCACCCGTGTCGCACCACGAGGCTGGTCGAAAGGGCGGGCCGGGCGTCTCGCCTGAGACATCCTCTCCACGTATGATCTCGAAGCTTGAGTCTGGCAACGGCTTCACTGGAGGGCGGTTGGTTTTCAACGTGTGGCTCTCGCCTTAGCGCCCCGCACACTCGTCATAAATAAATGGACGAGATTTCCCGACGGAGGCCGGTCCGCTTTCAAAATGCGGCCCTCGCCTTTGCGCCGCGCGCATTCGTGTGTAAACAAGTGTGAGAGGTTCAAGGATGGTGGGCGGCCCCTTTTGAAAATGTGGCTATCATCGTAGCGCCGCGCACATTCAGCCTCACGGATGGAGGGTGGTTACTTTTCAAAATGTGGCTCTCGACTTAGCGCCGCGCACATTCGATTTTAGAGCTTACAACAGTTTCAAGGATTTTCATGGCTACTGTCCCAGGAACTCACAGGAACGGTGCTAAACTCGTCATGGCTACGTCAAGTAGTTCACGGTGCTAAGGAACGGTGCTAAACAGGAACGGTGCTAAACTACTACTACTACTTCAAGGAGTTTCATGGCTACGTCAATTCGTGGTGCTGAACTCACAGGAACGGTGCTCTGGCACGGTTCAGGATCGTCAAGACGCAACAGTATCGGTGATTCGTGGCGCTGAAGTTCCAGGAATGGTGTTTTGGCACATGTCAGCATTTTACAACGGTTGTCTTCCAACGAAGCACTTCCCTCAGTGGAAATGAATCTTTGTAGGGGCCGGCGACGAGGGAAATTGGAGAGATTGGATTGCAACATAGTTGATGGATCTTGGGTGCACACTGGTTGTCCTCATTCTCCTCCTCCTTGTGCTCATTCCGGTCGTCACCGCTCCTTTTCATCTCGTCGTCCTCCTCTTTCTCTTTGTCCTTCACGCAGTCGTCGTGGGGGTTGTCGTCGTAACTAGTCGTCGTCGTCATCATCATCGTCGTCGTCGTCGGCGTCGGTGTCGTCGGCGTCGTCGATGTTGTCTTCGTCGTCTTCCTCATTTTCCTCCTCGCGCACTTCCTCCCACCACCTCCTTCTTCCCCTCCTGCTTTTCCTCCCGCCATCTCTTCGTTCTTTCCCGTGCCTGTCAACGTTGCCCTCCTCCCCTTTCGACTTTTCCCTCGTCCCGACCGCATCCTCCTCTCATTCGTCGTGCTCTCATTCCTCGCTCTCCTCCCATCGTCCTTCCGTTTTTCCCCTCCCCCCATCTCTTCGTCCATCTCCTCCTCCTCCTGCTGCTGCTGCTCTTCATCCTCCTCCTCGTCCTGTCCCCCCTGCGTGGCTCGCGTGACCCCGTCATGGACAAGGGAATCTCCAGGACCCCCCCCCTATCCGAACGAGCTGGCGGAGTGATCGATGCCACCTGCACTGGCGGGATATACATAGAGCCGAGGTCAGGCCGAAGGGCTGGCATTAAGTCGGGCCCTCTACTGGAGGCATTTTCAAGAATGTTAACAAGTAGTATGGGGACGATTGTCCTGCTATGTTTTGGTTACTTGAAGAAGAAGAATAATAATAATAACAATAAGAAGAAGCACCGACACAAATTCAGACTTTCGGCGCTTCGCTCGGGTTTTTTGGATCTGCGCTGGAACCCCCTCCCTGGCGCGCGGAGCGCTCCAGGGGCGGCGCCGGAGGCGCCGACAGGGGGGCCCTGCGCGGATCCAAGAAATCCGCGCGGAGCGCCAACAGTTTATGCTTATGCCGTTTCTTCTTCTTCGTCTTTCTTCTTCTTGTTCTTCTTCTTCTTCTTCTTCTTCTTCCTCTTCTTCATTCAGAGAGAGAGAGAGAGAGAGAGAGAGAAAAAAAAAAAAGAGGGTGAGAGAAAAGAGAAGGTGAGAGAAATCCGACGGTTCCGCGACAGGAGGGCGGGAAAGGAGGAATAAAGGAGGAAAGGAGGGGGACGAAAGAGAAGGAGCAATGCCGAGGAGGCGCAAACGAAAAGGAGAAGGAGAAGGAGAAGGAGGAGGGGGAGGAGGAGGAGGAGGAGGAGGAGGACGAACAGGGATGAACAGGGATGAACGAGGGCGAGGAGGAGCAGGAGGGGCCCCATCCCCCCGTGCGAGCGCTGCCAAAACCTTCCGAGGAGGGCGGAGGGCGGAGGGCGGACGGGGGCCGACGACGAGCCGTCCTCGTCCTCCCTTCCTTTCGGGGGTTGCTGATGGCGCCTCTGGGTCAAGGTGCCCCCAGCCTGTCAGCCGATTCGGGCGCCCCTGGGGGGGCCCTCTGGGCCTCGTGGGGGGGTGCTCTGGAGGCTGCAGGGGGGCCTCCTCGGACATCCTGGGGGCACCTTGGGCCAGGGGCACTTCCGGTAGCACCCGACCTTCTTCTCCGCCCTCCCCCACCCCTCCAGGCAACCAGTCCGGCCCTCGTCCCATGACGCCAAGGATGGGGCCGGTGGGGCGGGGCCGCAGTGGCGCGTGGGCGCCAGAGATTTTGGACCTGCGCGAGTGCGTGGGAGGGCTCGCCAAGGCAGAACCCTCGAGGGCGGCGGAGGCTGCGGTGTCCAGTGCCGATGCAGTCGGGCCTGGGCCAGGAGAACATCCTTCAAGAACAGGAGGCCCTCCGTCGGCCAAAGCAGGCAGAACGTGCAAGGGAGCCCTCCCCAGGATGTAGAAGAACGTCCAGCAAGCACGAAGAACACGAGGGTACCCTCCCCAAACCGACCTCGATCTTATATCTCGGTGCGATTGCAGGTCGAGCTGGGCACGGGTAACGCCGCCATAATCCAGCACCGCACCGTACAGTAGGCACATACGATACCAGTTGTTGATGCAAGAACTCTTGGGGCACATTTTTTCGTAGATCTTTGGAGGCCCTGAGGTGCCGTTAAGCTTCTGTGGGTCTCTGGGGCCTTCGGGAGACAAGCCATTTCCGTGCATCTGCTAGCAGGCAGATTTCTCACGGTGAAGGGATCCGTTGGATATGGAGGCTGGTGGAACTCCAATTGAGGATTGGCCACGGACATCACAGCCGCCCACCCACAACAGACAAGGAATCCTCCAGGGTCTGAAGCCTCCTGGGCACATTCCTGAACGAACGCCCGGATCGTATTTGATGCTCTGAGTGGAGTGTCCTCAGTTCTCAGATCTCTTCGATTTCCAATCTTGGATATCTATACGATAACCCTTCGGGTGATAAGGAGGTTCGGGGAGGGGGGGAGGAACCAACGTCTCACTCAGTCGGTCGCAATATCGATCTCACTACGGATGTCACCATTGAACTTACTATCCCTGTCACTGTCGATTTTACTTTCGATCTCGCTACTGATCTCACTATCGATCTCACTACGGGACACCGTCGTGGCACCGACGGGACATCACTATCGATCTCACTATCGATCTCCCTATCGATCTCACGATCGATCTCACTACCCTCTCACTATCGATCTCGCTATGGATCTCACGATCGATCTCACGATCGATTTCACTATCGATCTCACTATCGATCTCCTTTTTCCTCTCACTATCGATTCCTCCATCGATCTCGCTATCGATCTCACGATGGATCTCACGATCGATCTCACTATCGATCTCGCTATCGATCTCACTATCGGTCTCATGGCGGGACGCCGATGGGACACCGCGGGGACACCGGCGGAACCCCCGCGGAACTCCCCTGGCCACCGCCGGACAACCCGTGGGGGCTGTCTTCTGGCCCGGCGGCGCTCTGGCCAGTGGAGGGCTCATGCCTCTCGCCCGCCCACGCAGCGTCGCCTCGCCCGCACGCACGACACGGACATGAAACCGACATCGATTTCCTGGTGGGGGGGGCTCTCCTTCTCACTGCGATCTCACCCCCTCACCTCCGATTCTTTCTGAAGGGCCCAGGCTCCCAACTCAAGGATTTCTTGGGGCGTGGCGCAATACTCTCAAGGCTTGTCGCGTGACTTTAGCTGGAGCCAGCGCCAAGACTGCTTCTCCTCCTTCTCCTCCGTCTCGACCTCCACAACCTCGCCAGTGAGCTCGCTGTCTTGTAGCGCGCACTCGCTGCCCGCCCTCACGACGGTGTCGTCGCGCAGCCGGCGTAGCGTGAGCGTCGCGCTGGCGCCGAGGCAGACCCCGAGGACGCCGTCCGAGAACTTTAGCAGGTCGACGTGCCGCGCGATCCTAGCAAACGAAACATCTGCACAACACAACCTTTCGGATGTCTGAGCAGGTTTCTTGGATTGGCGCAGGCCCTCCTTCCCTGGCGCGCGGAGCGCTCCAGGTGATGCAACGCTGATCAAGGAAATCTGCGCGGACATTCGATATTTGTGTTGATGCAAATGTTTTTCTTCTTCTTCTTCTTCGAGATCCCCTGCCCCGCGACATAGCTGTTCACGATCAGCTGGTCGAACAACGGGCGCCTGCCAACATCAATCAGCATCGAATCGAAATATCGGATCGAACTGGAAAGTGCGTCGAATCGGACCGCATCGGCACGGAGTCGAAATCGAAGCGGATCGGCGACATCAGGATGCACAACAATGCCAATGCAAGCGTCGTGTCGCCTCGGATCGGCGGGACATCGGAATCGAATTGGATCTGGGAAACCATAATGTACCGATACCGCTGCTCCCTGGACCTTTCCAGGGGTGCGCTCTGACCAGGGTTTCGAAGCGCATCCGGCGGTGGCGACGAGGGCCTCCCAGGAGACTGAACGGAGGAAAACGGCCGAAAGGTAGCGGCGTCGAACCAATCCGAATAAGAAGAGGTGCCACTACCGCTACCCTGCCTCGTGTTTCGCCCTTGGGGGGCCTCCTCTTCCTCCTCCGCCTCCTCCTC